AACGCATGCGCAAGCCAGCGATCCGAAGTCGGAGCCTGAGACCGGTCGCAGCGAGCGCGCGTGATTGAAACCCACACAATGCCCGTTCAGGGAGTTTTGTCTCGCACTCCTGGCACGGGAGAGCTTGGGAGAAGGTAGTGCTCCTGCTGCTGGTCTTCAATGGTCTGCCCGCTCTGCTGATGGGCACGCTCGCGGTTGTGCTGACGCTCGCACTGCTTGAAGCTCACAGCATATGTTCTGGTGAAGCTTGGTACTGCAATCACGCAGCCATCAGCACAAGCCTGAGCCTTCCAGTGACCGCTTTGACGTTCCTCTTCTGGCAGTCAAGAAGAGAGGTGTTCCTGGACAAGATCTGCATCCATCAGATAGATGAACTTCTCAAGTTGGAAGGTGTGTTGAATGTGGCCGCCATGGTGAAACGCTCGAAGTCCATGCTGGCTTGTTGGGACACCACCTACATACGAAGGCCTGCATGCCGAAATCGGATTCAGCCAGAACCATCGAGCATTAGAGTTAACTTCTGGCAGACAAGCCTGGGTGTCAGCTTGCGGAACTGCGATAAGTAGCTACCATGCAAGAGCGATGAGATAGGCTTGCGCGCAAGATCGACTCCCTTCCAAACCCACGCACAACCCGAAACTCGTTTCTAAGATTATGGTGTGAAGGCTCTGGTGTGTTCTCGAGATCGCGGCCTTCTTGCAGAGCCACGAGGAAGATGCGCCGCTTCATATTAAGCCCGTGACATGGGCCCCCGTCACTGCCATTCTTTTCTTGGGCTGCTGGTTTATGTGTCTGATCCTGCTCTCTGCGATGGAAGGCTTGTGGGGGAGTGACGTTTGGTTGGGGGAGCCACTCGTCCCATTTGCCCTCGCGGTCTCGGTGTTCATGCCGATTTCCATACTCTGCTTTTCTTCAACAAGTGCGCTTCTGCGTAGCCATGTCCGTGCAGTTGATTCCATGGTTGAGCAATTGCGAGCCTTCTCGCTACAGCACGACACGGTCTGCCATTGCTGCCCCTTTGCTGTTCATTGGCAATTGTTGAGAGCTTGGGGCCTGCATCGCAGTCGCATGTCCTGATGCATTTCAACATCTTCGGGTGTAGTCTTGATGAAGGCACTGCGAACCATCTTGATAAAGATGGGCAGCGCACTCCCTGCGACCGGCATTTCCTGGAGGGGAGCATCCGTTTGTGGTTTGGTTCAGTCGCAGAGTTTGACATACTCGTCCAACGGCAAGTTCGCGCTGCTTTCGAGCGTAAGCTTGGGGGATTTCCAGCACCGTACTCTTGGGTGATTGGAGCCGCGACTCCGATCGCGTGGTCAAGCTTTTACTACTTCATCAAACTGATGACTGAGGGAAGGTATGCCATGGCGATTGCGGAGCTGTTCCTTCATCGCACATCTTGCAAATGTCACCGAGTTGGTGAACTGCATTTAGTTTTTTTGTCCCCATTGCTGTCTGTAAACTCAACCCGTGTCGTGAAATCAAAGGTGCTACATCGCGTCCTACTGGCTGGCAGTCATACCGATCGGGGCTGTCTTCTGGGCACGCACGGCCAGATGCCTCCAGACGCAGCGGAACCGGTGGTGGAAGGAGGCTCTGGTAAACATTGCTTGCTCGTTATCTCTGGTAGCAGTCTAAACCATGAACTCTCTGATGATGAGCACCTTGGCATCTGCGCTGAGAACCGAAAGGCTTTTCTGGATGAGCCTGAAGCTCCAAACTCCAATCCCCCTTGCATCCTAAGTCTCGAGTCCGGGGGAGAGGCTAAATCCCAGTGAGCTGTGAGGCTCGTGAGACTCTTTAGATTCCCCAAGCCGTAAACTCCCGAGCTAAGCCTTCTACATTCCCAGCCATTCTGGCGACCACTGAGGCATTTTAACATTATTGTTGCCCTTGGAATGGAGCAGAGTCGCCTTCGCAGCGACGCAGGTGACCCTCCTTGCCGCTTTGCATGGGTTCCAATCCCGTGGTTTGTCCACAAAGGCGGTGGCTGGCCATTCCGCGCTTTTCCCCCCCGACGGGGGCTGCGCCCTGCCCCCGCACAGAGAGTGAGCTTTAAATACAAGCAGCGGGTGCGCGCTTGTCAGGTGTCACTTGAGGGGCATGTGTTCTATCTATCGAAGGCACCTCAGCCTGGATCTTAACACGCTCGATTCATGCCTGAGCGCTTGCAAGCTTCGTTCTCGACTTCTTCTTAAGCACCTCTGGTCTTGGGGCACATTGCGAGGCCGCGTTTAGGGTTAAGGGAGCCCCTTGAGCTGCCGTTCCCTGCATTGTTGACTGGTTTTGTGCATCATCTGCCGCCCGTTTTGAGGGTTCAAGACGGGCCGTGTGCCTGCCGCCATGGAGCATGCTCCAGCGCTTTTGGACTTGCATGCTGAGGCATGGCCCTCACGGACAATCAGTGATCTTGCACATGACTCATGCTCGCATTGTGCAGATAGGTTGTGTTGACAGCAGCCCTTTGCTCAAGACCTTTGAGTCAGCGCCTTTCTTTTACCGACTTGAACTCTACCTGAGTCCTTTCTTCGCCGTGATTCTCGCGGCCGTGGCCGTCGAAGCTTGGTCCGAGAGTGTGCCAGAGGCATGCCACTCCGGCAGCTCGGTTCAGAAGCGAGCCGGCTTGGGCGTGACTGCTCCCACAACCGACAGCGTCATGGAGAGTTGGATCGCAGGCCTGAGCCACCATGCTGAGCTTAACAGGCCTCTTCTCGCCGAAGACGTGCACATCCGCACCATTCGCACGTGGCTCGCAAGTTTCAAAGATGATCAGGACGATCTGTGGGCTGACGGCATGACCAACGTGACATAACCTGAGCAACATGTCCGGGCCCCCCAATTTAGGTCCAGACAGTATCAACAGGACGGCCATGCTGCGGAAGGCCGACTTGGGTGTTCAAGCCCAGAAAGAGCTTTCCCAGTTCTCGTGAAAGAATGCGCTGACTCCACAGCAGGCAGATCGCTTGGCAAAAGTCTATGCGCTTGACATGGATCCGGTGGTTGCTCGCCTGGCCATCAAGGAGGATGACGAAGCCACGGAGCCAAGAGGGTTGCGGAAGAGTACCACAAGTACTTGATCGTGGTCGGCAGGGGATCCAATGTGGTGCCGTCAAAGAAGATGATGTGTGGCAGACCCACATTCTCTGCTCGAAAAGTACCAGGAAGACTGCGAAGCAGTGCACCAGGAGCCCGCGAACCTCCTCTTGGACAGGGATGGTGCCAACAAGCAGAAAGAAGATGGCAAGCTTGTATGGATACACTCACCAAGCGATCTGCCCCTCGTCCGATACGAGCTTACGTTGTTTCGAGCTGGCGTGGCGTTTGCCGCTGAAGTGTGGGGTCATGTTATGCTTTCCGTGTGCTTTGTATAGAGAGCTTTTTCTCTGTGGCGGTGGGTGGCTTTTTTGGTGGCTTCGAGCCCGTGATCTGGGCCCAGCAATCCGTGGGCTCCTGTGGAGTGCTGGTGCACCAGAGCGTGCGGCTGCGGAGGTGGTTGCGGCTGTGGCAGCTCGGGCTGCTGAGCCTCGGTCCTTCCCGTCGGCTGACTGAGGCGACATCTTCAATTCGCCGTCCGACCAACCTTTTTGCAGCGCTGCGCACTGTCGGGCAGTGTCGGTGTTGCACGAGCTTTGGACGCTGTCCTTGGGTTTCGTGGTTCAAACCCTTGGGGCCTTGATCAGCCCATGTTCCAACCTGATCGCAGATCACCAGCTGTGAGTCCGAAGGTGCCATTGTTTAACACCCAAGCCGCTCAGAGCTCCACAATGTTCCAAGAGCCGGCGAGCAAAACGGGTTGAAGTGGTCTCGACTTTCCAAGCGGCCTAGATTCCTAAATGTGTTTCAATCCCCCTGCATCGCCGAATCTGAAGAGACCTCAAGGCTTGGAGCCTCTGTGACCAGGCCATCTGGCTCTCTCGAGCTCGACGTGCCAAGAAGGAAGCGGCCTGAGAACACTTCTGTTTGCGTCTGCTTCACAGCATTCTGCAGCACAAAGAGTGGCACCGAGCAAGGATCAACACAGCAGCTGCTGGTTTCATGTTGCGGGTTTTGCATGTCCCTCACCCCCAATCTTCTAAAGCTCCCCAGAGCACAAGGAGCAAAGCTCCAATGGCTGACCAAAGCAAGGAGGGGGCTGGGTCCGTTGTGGAACAGGCCACAAGCAACTTCAGAGCAAAGGACCAGCGATCGATTCGTTTCCTGAGAGGTTTTGCAGGAAAATGCGCAAACCAGTCGGGCTAAAGGTGAGAGGAAGAAGAAGAAGCAGGGAGAAGCACGTCATCGCCTTCTCTCGGTGTTGGCACTCTCCTCTGACTGGACCCCGATGTTCTGAGGCACGGAAGAGCTTCCAACATGGGCAGAGCTGCAAGGAGGTGGGTTTTTCGGACTTGGGAGATGCGCCGTTCCGTGACGCGTCCTGTGACCATGTGGTGGTGTGCGTCCTGCCCTCATGACAGGATGTCCCTATGTTGTCCATCTCAGAACAGGACACTGGCTTCGTAGCAGCAAGGCGGTTTCCCGATTGTTTCCCTGACAGGACTTGAAGGCAGAAGCCGCGGCGCTGCGGCGCGGTTGTCTCGGCTTTCCGGCGGGTGCGTCCGGACGAGTCCTCTGTCCTTGCTCAGCGCAGTCAGGCGCACACCGAGCAGTCGGGTCCCAATGCCAATACCCACGAGGCCTCAACACAGGCGGGACGGCATGAGCGAAGTCACTGCTGGCGGAGAGACGTCCTTCCTGAGGTTACATGAGCCCCAGCCAGTCAAGTCCGGGTCAAGAAGGTCAGGAAGAACCCGGTGTGAAGTGATCCGTGTTTCCGGACGTCTTGCAGTCGGAGTAATGACGATGCGCCAAAACTGAGAGGCCTGGTCGAGGCAGCCGAGGGCTTTGAGGCCACGGAGGATCCGAGTCCAGTGCCCTGACTGCAGTGGGCCAGGCAGTCCTCCGTAGGCTGCGTAGCTGACAGCAGCTGACAGGTTGCAAGTAGAGGCCTTCGAGGCGGTGTTCCGTGGAAAGGCGAGCTGGGGATGATGGGAATGTACAGCTTTGCTTGACAGGAGATGGCAGCAGTGACCGTGAGGAGGTGGGAGTCGCAAGAGAGAAGCGAGCGACGAAACGAGAAGTGCGATTGCGTCGCAGGAGCTGAGGGCTCGGCTCGCCGGGTGCCAACCGGTGAAGCTATGTTCGAAAACTGAAGGCTCAGCGACTTGCCGAGGATGTGGCCGAGGATCTTTTGGAGAAAACCAGGCGCGTCATCTTCGGTATAGTGACATAGTAGATGTTTTGCTTCTTTGCCAGTCTCTGACGGCATGTCCTTGGGTATCACAGGCCGCAAGCACAGGAGGTGCGGAGCTGGTGTTGGAAGACTTTCTGCTCGAGACACATGCTTCTTTTGCTGAGAGGCAGCAAGGTTGCGCCGAAGGCCACTCGGAAAAGTAGTGTGTCCAAGAGGCTTCGACCGGGGAGGTGTCGAAGAGACTAAGGGACTACCGGGGTCGGGACTGTGGCTTTGGATGTGCCCTCTGCCTTGTCCCCCGTGCCTCGCAGATTGGCCGCATCAGAATCACGGGCAGCCGAGATGGAGGCCTGGGTTTGGCAAACTGAAGGGCATCCCACAACCATGCTAACAGTAAGCACGTGTCCGGACACGGTTGCTCTTAACGCAGCTTTGTATGCCCTTCCCATGTCAACCACTGTGAGCTTTCTTATTGCATGTGCCTTGGTTCTGGTGCAGGCTACAAGCTGCGCGGCGCCCGCCCCAGACCTCCCTTCCCGCATCCCCCAGCTGCGTCTGCTGTCTGTTCGGGGCCCTGTTGGGGAGTTCCGAGGCGCTGCGGCTCTGTCAGGAGCTCTCGGCAGCCTTGGAGCTTCAAAATGTGGAGTTTCAACGCTACGTGGATGCGATCAGAAGACAGACAGGACTGTATATGTCAGTATATATATATGTGTGTGTGTGTATCTATCTATCTATATATATATATATATGTATTTGTACATATGTATATCTATATATATATATATGATGTTTTGTGCAGCCTTGACATCATGCTTGGCCAAGCGAGACCTAAGACAATCCCATGCAGAGTGCCACCCGAACTGGGTATGAATTCGCATACATGCTGAATGCTGTGCCCACTCAAAAACTTCTTCCGGATAGCGTTTTTCTCTCAGTGCAGGACCTTTCCTCGAGCAGACCGCTTTCATCGAGGCTTTTGAAAGTCCTTCCTTGCTTGAGGTTGAGTTTAGGTGTTGAAAGAAAGCCCTCTGGACAAAGCATACAGGCTGAGCTTGGGGCTGTTGCTTCCAGCTCCCCTCTGCAAGGCCGGTGCTGCAATCGGTGTAGTATTGTTTTGACCTTAGAGTACTCTGATAGTATTCTTACAGCAATAGTGTAGCAACCTGAAAGTAACTTCGTTTACCATTACTGGCATTAGTTGTATTGACAGTCTTATTCTTATTGCTCTCACTGTTTCAGTTGTTGTTGTTGTCACTTATTTGCCATTATTACTTCTGTTACTATTGTTACTATTGCTGCTAGTTTGGTGGCCATGTCCACAGGTGAGGGCGAAGCCGACCGGCTGCTGGAGGAGCCTTGCTGTCTCATCCCGGCCTCCTCGGAACCCAAAAGACAAAAATCCTAAACTTTAACCCCTAAGCACGAGAAGGAAACCCTGATAATATGTGGGTGTATGTATATATATATATATATTTTTTTTTGTAGTGTACACATTATGTTGCATGATATGATATGATATGATATTGTATTATATGTTCTTGGTATTTTTGTTATAGAATATAGTATAACATTGTGTTACATGATATAAGATATCATAATCTGTTCTAATATGATATAAGACAGTATAAGATAACATGTGATATAATATGACAAGATAATATGTAATATAACGTAATGTAATATAACGTACTATAGTGTAAAGCAATGATATCTACTTCAAAAAGTACTGTCATAGAATACATGTTAAAATATTATGTGGTAAGACAATATAACGTAAAATATAACATATGGTATTAAAAAATATGATTATATAGTAGATTGCAAGAACATTGTTCTGTATTATAACGAAATGTAATATACTGTAATAGAACATGTTGTGATATAATACGCTTTGGTATGCGAATTGTATTGTAATACATATATATATATATAAAATATCTTGTAATATAATGTACTGCAATATAGTTCATGCAATAGAACTATATTGCAATATAGCTTAATGCATTCCATCATACTGTCATGTTATGTAATATACTATAATGTAATGTACTATTCGATCTTGTACTTGAATACAATGTACTATGTTATGATGATGTATGTATGTATATATATATATGACATAATGCATTATCATACACTATAATATAAAATCTAACCCCTAAATCCTCTGTTGCTTGAAGGAGCTCCAAAGCGAGCAACGCCAGCGAAGACAAAAGGAATCGGAGCTGGGTGAAGTCCGGCTTCAACTCGAAAGGAGCGTGCCTGTAGGGGAGTGACGGCCACGGTGAGTTGCTACCAGTGCGTGTGCGTTTGCTACCAGTGCGTGTGCGTTTGCGGGGTAATGGGCTGCAAGGACCGTCACCGACTTGCAAGATGCAGAATCGAGGGCAAACGAGCCTTCCGGCCCTGCTTGATGCCACGCCACGGGTCGGGGTTACTGCAACAGATGAGGGTTGCTGAACTGCTTCTAGGGTTGCCAGCAGCAGGCAATTCAATCTGGCCCCGATGGTAGCATCTTTGGCATTTCAATCCGGCACCGATAGTAGCATCCTTGGGCACGGACAAAGTCTCGGATGAACCGCTGTGCCAGATTCTTTTTCTGAGGATTCTGGACTGCTTGAAGGTCTAAGCCTAAGCCGTCGCATGCCTGCCAGGCTGTCTGCGAAGCTGACCCACTCTGAAATGGAGCAGAACCAAGACCCTGGCGCTCTCGAGGATCACCAAGAGCGGGGAGACTCGTCGGCCGAGGCAGGATTACCCAGTCTCTGTCTCCAGCGCACGTTATGTGCACCGACAGAACAAGGCTGCTGTAGAGCAAGTGTCTGAAGCTTATGAGCAACCTGGAGATTTCGTGCAATTGCTAGATTCCTGGAAATGTGATGAGGGATGTCCGCAGGATGCGGGACCTAGAGCTTGCACGGTTGCACTGTCAAGACAGAGCGTTCCTAAATGCCATTGTTGTACATGAGGCCCCAAGCGTTGAGTCATGGATATATGACTTCACGATGTCTTCTCATAAATATCCTGCCGCAAAAGTCCATCGGCCTTGTTCCAATTCCCGATCCACAGAAAATGATTCCCATCACGACTTTTTTGTGCAAGTCTCCCGAAACAGAACGATTGAAACTCCACTAGGTCACTGAGTAATTGCATTTCCTGATACACCAAGATTATAGCTTAACCATGTCCTTCAGCAAATCTTCCGAAACGGAGCACGCAGAGCCTGATCCGGTAACTTGAGAAGATGCGCCACTCTAGCTCCGTTCGTCTGCCTTTCTGATGCCCGGACAGGCTGAGGCTCCCATCGATCAGCGGGACCCAGCGAGTCGGGGTCCGGTTTCTTGTTCCACCTCGTTCCTGCGGTCATTGAGCCTGCTATAAAGAGAGTGCCGAGCATCCTTGTGGATCGAGGTCCTCTTCGGCAGGATCAGTTGATTGAGGTCAGGGTCCAAGCTGGGTGCCTGCGCTTGAAGTGCTGCGGAACACTGCGGCTGCGTGCCACCGCAGAGTCGCAGGAGAAGAGGAACCGCGCACAGCAGCGAAAACAGCGGCGCACCTCAGCCGCAGCAAACCCGACCTGAAGTCCCGGGGCAGATCTGCTGCGTTGATGGCCATCTCAGACATCTCTTACCCGTGATCGGAGGTATGGAAGAAGCCGCGTTGCCACAGGGGCGCGCAGCAGCCGCCTTCTCAGAGACCCAGCCTAGGCTCAGGCACTGAAGAGTTGCACCGCAGAAGGCAGCACAGCCCGAGGACAGCACTGAGAGTTGCAACACGGACCCTGAGAGGCCTCCGCCATCATCTCTCTCTCCGAAGGCATGGTGGTCAGAAAGCTGTGTGTCGCATCCTCAGTAGTTTTCGGCTTTCCTTCACATGAGACCCATGTGCTCTGCTTTCAGGCTGGGACTTCGCAGTGGCAGCCGAGACTCATGCAGCTTTCGCCAGCCTCCGCCCCAGAAGGGCATAGAAGACCATACAGTAACATGCAGTTCCCCCTGGCCTGGCGAATTCCCTGCTCAGGCTCCACCCGCGGGCCCGCAGAAGCTGATCTGGTCGAAAGACATAGGTGCCCAAAGCCAGAGCGAAGAGTAAGCTAGAGAGGCTGCGCCCAGGACGGCCTAGACTTGGACTAGATGCTGCAAGGTCGCAGGGTCTTTGGCCGCCGCCTCACAAGCCTTGACTTGAAGGAGGCGCGAGCTGATGCTTGGACCAGGGCCTTCATGTCGTGTCTCCTGCGCGCATCGTAGAAGGAGGGTCGCGCTACCCGCATGACTATGCACAGCAAGACACCTGAAGCAAGCAAGAACCAATTGGGCGGTGCACCAGCCTCGGCAGATGACTTGCAAAGCCCGTGAAGTTTAAAGCCAAGCTTTCACGGACTCTCAGCCCTTCGGCTTGCCACTCAGTGCTACCTAGCACCCGTGCCTCCTCCCCCTCGTTTCGCGCCGATCCTCGAACAAGGCGCACGAAAGAGGATAACCTGCCTGACCCGCAAACCGACCGTGGGGGTGCCCATAGAACTCTCAAGTTCCTCAGCCTCCAGGAGCTTCATAAGTGTCTGAGTCCCGTGGTCGCGCGCAGCTGATTGGCTCGGGTCATCCATGGGCACAAAGCAATCAGCCAACCGGTCAGTCAATCATCGACGCAAGCATACATTGATTGATCGATCGATTGATGGATTCATCTATTCAGTCCGCCAGTCAGTCGGTCAGTCATTCACTCACCCATTCATTTCCGCAGCCAGCCAGTCAGTCAGTCAGTCAGTCAGCGGATCATTCAGGCGTCCGTCCGTCGGTCGGCCAGTCAGGCAGTCAACCTTGTACTGGTAAGAATTCATCCGATTCTCCGCCGTTCCTTCAACCGTGGCCTGTTTCAACCGAGCGCAGCGGAGTGCCACTCGAATCCAGATCCTCCGCCAGCCCGGCTTCAGGTGACCAATGTTGGTTTGGGCGCAGACTCCCTGCCCGACAAATTGCGACACAAGGATCCCGCGGGCACCTGAAAAAGACCCAGTGGCGGGAGCATGACGTGCATACGCTGCAGGAAGCTGGCTGGCGCTGCTTTTCACTCTGGACTGCCCAGCGATCCTTCTTCTTCAAGGCCGCAGCCTTGTAGTGAAAACCAAAGCTACTTGGGGCCCCAGAGCTGAGAGCAGGGAAGCGAAGGAGGTCGTTTGCCTGGGGAGGCCGGGAGCGACAAGGAGGCGGAGCACGCGGTCCTTGCCCTCTCCCGCTTGTGCCCGCTTCCGAGATTTTCGGCCGCCGGCCGGGGCCTCTGTGGCACCGCCAAAGCTTCTGACACCTCGCCTCGCCATGCGATATTCCGGCTGCAGCATTGAGCAAGATCTTCCCTTCTTGGTAGGGCCAGAAACCAAAAATGCACGATCTTGCACGAGACCGTGCAAAGCTAGAGCCATGGCGCTTTCGGCAGAAGAGAAGTGGGCGAGGATCAAGGAGCTAGAGTGCGAAATCGAGCGGCTCAAGAAGGCGTCCAACTAGATCTCGATGAGCACAGCTTGCCTGATTTTTTTCAGGGCATCATCTAAACCCAAAGCCCCAAACCCCGTAGAAGCCTAAAGCGAATGTTGAGTCATTTGCGCTCTGCGGAGGCGAAGCGCGAGCAGCAAAAGGCTGGACTCGGCTGGGAGCTGTTTTG